TCAAGAACATAAAACGTCTTTATCATTTACTTTTTAACCCTTAATAACCACGTGTTAATTCCTCTACGTGAATCATTGCCAGAATGTAAAAAATGAAAGTCTTTCACGATTGTGTTTATGGCACCGACAGCTGACAAAGGAAAAATGTATTCGTTTTTTCGATTACAACGAACCCGTCCGCGGCAAACTGTTTTTCATTTGATTTCGGACAAATACAACTGGCCAGTACGTTTTGAAAATTACATACGTTTTAGGTATTTTTATATGCCGTTTGTTATATTTTTTAGTGAAAGATACTTAAAAAATACAACCTACTTTATTTTAGGAATTAGTTTAAATTTCTCATACTGAATACATTGTATTCAGTAGACGGCAAACTGCAGTAGCAGGCGACGATAGCCACTGATTTAGTTTGCCGTCTTGTCGTCTAATTGCGGCAGTTTATCGTATGTTTATAACATTATAATTTTCCATATGTGGATAATAAATTTTCTTTCCGAGTAAGCCTTAAGTTGTACAAGTAATATGCACTTAAAAAGCTTCAACTTAGACTGCCTGCATAACATCATTAGCATTACTTAGGTATACAACAGGTTTTCTAGATCACATTTGTTACAAAACATTGGAATGTAGATGGTGTGCTTGTTTTAACTTATTTATATTTATGTAATGTTACGTATCTTATCTTCTTTTTATTTATATTCCTTATGTCATTGTAGCTGGAATAAATTATAGATAATTTATTATCAAGAGGCAAGAGAGTGATGAAAGGAAAATATATTCGAGATTATTTCAGGTTAATATTTAAAAATATGAAGTAAAAGTTAAAGATAGAGTGGTAGAGCCCGCTTTAACATCTTCACACGAATGGGCCGGCTCGCCCGGTGTAATACCACGACCACACAGAAAACAGGCGTCAAGTGGAAGCAATTCCGCGTTTCGTCTGATGAGTGTGGTGCCGGAGGCCTAATTTAAACTTTCCCTTTCCACCATTTTCTTAAGAGGAATGGATGGGAAGGAAAAGTGGATTTGGCGGTAGAGGAGACGCATAGGAAGGGAAAATGTCCTCTTTATGTACGTCTCCTCCACCATCAATTAAGGGTAGGTAACACATCTGCAATTGCGGATGTTCATGGGCAGCGGTCGCTTTGCATTTCGGTGGATTCAGGCCGCTTGCTCGTTTGCCACCTCATATTATAAAAAAAAAGATACTCGTCCATAAAATACATTTCCATTGCTAAAAGTTTCTTAATTAACAAGCCATCATAATAAACTGATTTTGGGTTTGCGATATCGCTTATACGAGTTGAATGCCACTTTAGAGGGGCACCCATAAAGAATGGAACTTTTCACACTGTGAAAATATTAAGTTCAGTTTGTGGAAAATTTTAAAATTAATAGCCCCAATACGAGTTCATTCGTCACTTGGTTATACCAATATGTAAACAATACTAGTTTCTTATGCTGAATACAATAAGTTACGAAACGATGTGGTCGACGATTAGACGCGAAAAACCGCGGGAGAGGCCTACGATTGTGACACGTGGGAACATACGGCCCAATGTTGTGTGGAAATCTCAAGCAAATACATAGCAATTACGAGAGAATTGCCGCCATTTGTGCAAGCGAAATAAGCGCTTATTTGTAGGGTAAATGCACTTAGATAAATGACTGCAAAACATCTGATAAGTTTGCTTGGAAAAGTAATAATCTAGTTAGATTCCGCATTAAAGCAAAATGTGGTTTCAAAATAATGTACCTTTATAGTAATGTAGAGACGCTCAAAGTAAGGGTACTTCAAAAATACGTATAATAGAGAATTTATATCTTAAGAAAATAATAAAAGAAATGAAAAACGAAATTATTTTCCAATGTTTCAAATCTATCTATTTGCGACTTACCGAAATTATATTTAAGTAAATGTTCAATGAAAAATTGATGTGTTACCCCTATATGCTAATGAATATGCAACAAAATCAATACAAAAACAATAACCCAGTTCTCCGTGTCTATGGGAAGATGCTATGAAGAAATCGGCCCAGTTGCAAGACGATTTCACGACGTAAACTGGGTTTGTAAGCCCGCGTCTTGCAACTTATGATGCTTTCAAACCGCTCGATAGCCGCTCGTATGTCTGCAAAATGCATAATTTAAAACAGAACCTCTTTAGTTTTTTAACTTTTGTAATATAGTGGAAAGTCATTGTAAAGAAAATGGACATAGTATTCCAGACATATACCAGTTCTATTCCCTCTTGACTGAACCTTCTGAATGTAAAATTTACAGTAGTAAGAAAAGTATTCTGCAAACATCTGTATTAAATTAACTCCATTTATGGGATTTAGAAGCCAAACAGTTATTGCTAATTAGGTCAATGGTAAGTGTGATTTTCTTGAACTTAAGAAGTCTCAGTACATTTAATACCAGATCTAAAACGTGTTGTTGGCGACATTGAAAAGGTATTATGTGAATACCATGCTCAATGTAATCCATGACCCTGACTTATGTACCGTAGAATTGTAGAAACAACAGTTACCTTCACAAGTTACAGAAGTAAAAGAAAAATAAAATGTAACGCTAATAAGCAATACTTAAAAGTATTGTAATATAGAAAAAAACTCTTCAATACGAAGACAGTTAAGATAGAGGAAGACAAAATGGAAAAAAAAAATTGTGAAATCAGAAAACTATTTACTATTACTACTACGTTTTTTTAAGTAATCGTAATAATGGCAATTGTGAATTGCGAAATGTGATCTTGAATTTTAAGAGATCGTTAAACCACTTTCAATAAACAATTACGACGTATACGATGATAAAATTTCTATTTACTTTCATTCAAATTCAATATTTATCCTTCATTATGATGAAAATGTTTACTATTTGTTAAAGCAATACAATACAATAATTAAAATAACAATAGTGGTAATTAAAATTAGTTATTAGTCTAAAAGAATCAGTTATATCAGATGGAATGGAATCATTTGCTCTTCTAGTCATAACGAATTAAGATGTCAATGGTACGTACGTTTCATTGACTAGAAAATATAACTCGAATCTATCAAGTGTAATGTCTATAGTGGTTCGGAATTTAATGGAACGATTTTTAGGTGAGATGTTTTCAATTATTTTTAGATATATAAGACTAATAGATGTTGTTTGCTTTTTTAAATCATTTCTTCATGTATTATAGAGAAAAACAGGGTTATATAAAATTCGACACAAACCCCCTCGATGACAATTCCCTAGTTCTAGTGCAATTGGAGTGAGTCCTGAGATCTTAGATCTTACTGTAAGACATAGTTGTTAAGAGGTTTTCCTTAGTGTTGTTTTAGTATGAGAAATTTTTAGGAAGGGTGAGATTCTAAGTGACCAATTAACGACACTAAAGGTGGCAATTACAATCAAGATTGACTTAAAAGCTTCCACCGTGTAAGTGGTTTGGCAGAATGGTTAGGTATAATTAAAAAAAAAAACAAGTGGATCTATATGCAATACACAGTGTTACTGATTTGTAATACAAAGAAACCCCGCAAATGTCACACTGTGCGTTATTTGTTCGTTCGATTTCGCACCGCGGTTGTTGCGCAAAAGTGTACTTACGTGATCGTTTTTATGTTATTATGGCTTCGATCTGTTATGAAATTATAATAAAATATCGTAGTACATATATTTAATTAGAGTTTTCATAAACCGAGTTTTAGTTTTTTTAATATATTCGGATTTACAAGGACAATTGCTTTCCTTATTTCGGAGGCAAAGGGGAGTGTTAGTCCCCTCGAGCAAAAGTCATACGTCATATGGTCATATGGTTCTAGTATTTTTATGATTCTGGACTATCCCCTACTATACTTCAGACTCAAGTGTTCTAGATTATCTCAGGAAAGTGTTCGGGAAATATTTAAATTTTATATTTGATACGATATGATTGTCGAAAGTGAGTGCATATTTACATGATTCATAAACAGTTACAAAAATGACGCAGGTTGCCATTGTTGTCTTCTTATTACGTAAGTGAAACTAAAATTGATGACGTAATCGTACGCTGGCTGCTTTTTATGTAGGGGGATAAAAAAATATTGAATTCGTAACTTGACACTATACCGTAAGGAAAAAAAGACAAATTGCAATGTTTTGGTAGACGCACAATATTAAGTGGTTACACTTAATTTTTTTTTTACTACAAGAAGCTTTCGCCCGCGACACCGTCTGCGGGGAGTAAAAAAAACAAAAGCCTATGTGTTCTTCCAGGCTATGCTCTAGATCTATGCCAAATTTTATCGAAATCCGTTCAGCCGTTCAGGCTTCAAATTCTAACATCTATCCATCCATCTAAACTTTCGCATTTATAATAATAGTAAAATTAGTTAGATGAACAATAATGTCGAAGCACCATAGATTCAATTACCTCCTACAGTACAACGACCCCTATGTGCTGGTGAAATGCGAAACGGTAAATTTGAACTTGGAATAAAAAATATGCTTGTCAATGTGACATTGAAAGTTGCCAGTTATAGACTGACAGTCATCTGACCTGTGATAAGTGAAACGAATTTAAAGTAGCCCTGCCTATGACGAAAAAATGCTACTGGATTGATCAATACAGTTTTTAAAATTTAAATTTGGTTTATTTAATTATCTTTGTTGTAGTTTATACGTATTTTTAATTAATCTTTACTGTTTAATCTAATAATTTACTGTAAACTAATTACAGTAACAGTAAATTAGTTAAGATGAATGGATGTTTGTTAGAGTTTGTAGCCTAAACTGCTGAACCGATCTCAATGAAATTTGACATAGATGTAGTGCGCAGTCCGGAAGAAAACATAGGATACTTACTTTTGCTTTTTTTAATAGAGTACGGAGTCGTGTGCGGAAGCTAGTTATTTTATAACCTTAAACTAAACTCGCTAATTGTTTGTATTATTTCCCGAAGACATGGGGGTACAAAACCTTGTTGTAGTTATTAACTATTTATTAACACGCTAATATCTTTCCAGATGGCGAAGCGGTGATGGCGTGGACCATTCGCGCCGTGGCGCTATGGTGCGCCGTGGTCCTGGCGCTGTTGACCACGGCCGCCGCGTACACCGTCGATTGCAACCACGAGTACACAGACTGCGACACTGAACTCAGTAAGCATTCAATCCAAACGATTTATACCCTTGATAACCAATCCAAACGGTTTGCATAATACCCATCACTATTATGTAAACCAATCTGAACGATTTACAGAATTACATTCTCATTTTTAATTATACATGGGCGAAGTAAAGTTGCCGAAAAGACTGTTTGTGTTTTGTTTACTTCAACTAAGGTCAATTATCTGATTGTAGAAGCAAGTTAATTTCATTAATTATTAAGCTTATTAACATGACTACTAGGCAATAGACAATAATTTTATATAACAAGGTTAAAGCCATATAAGTTGTGTATTTTGGTGAAACCGTTTCGATGGTTCTAATTCGTATTAAAGTTATTTTGTAAGGTTTATCCATATTAATCGTGTTAATATGGAATTAACAGTGTGGAATACGCCAACCATCAATGTGAGTTATTAGTGTTTTTAAATCAGTAAAAAACGTTACTAGGAAATGTTATTATGTACTTGTATTAGAAGTTACATACCACGAGATTTTTTACTAGAAATAGTAATTAATAAATTATATCGACGGTGATTTTTGATAATACGGTATTGCACTGTAAGAATTATATAAACTAACATATTGTTAACACTGTTTTTTTTAAATAAATGCCATGACACTTTTTCAAAAAGTATTTCTCCGATAAAAGTGTTCAGTTAGAAGACTCAGTAATATTGTACAATAGCATCTATTGTGGAAATGTCTTAAATTAAGATATAAAAACAGGACTGCATAAGATTAGATATATCAGCGTGAATGTTTAGAAACAATGCAGTCTAGAACGCCGTCTATCATCGATACATACATGCGCTAGCCATTGTGTCTCTTGTTTTGATAATAACAAATGAAGTCAATTAAAACATTACATACTTTCAGTCAATTACTAGTGCTATCTCTTTCTGATTACTAATATTACAATGAAATAGAATACATTACGGTAATTTATAAGACAAAAGACGGTGATTGTGTTTACCATAGTTTAAGATAATGAGTATGGTGATAATCATCTTTAGGTGTTGAGAAATGCACTTCTTTGGACATAGAATGTGCGGCTCTGACAGGTCCTGTCATTTATATGTCAAAGTTACCATCAATAATAACGTCAAAATACTTTCACGGCTAAATGTAACATTCTTCTGTTGTCCTATTTCAGTACCTCGATTGATATCATCAGCTACCGGTCATTTGTCAATCACACTGGATTCCGTCTATCTAGTTACCTGCATTTTAGTCTTGTTTTTTTATATTAACAATTATCTTCAACCTTGACGTTGGCGAAATTATGGAAATAACGATGGGGTCGACTAATCATTAAAAGAAGAAGTAACATTCTAAAATTCGGCATAAATAATGATAACAGAATTTGACCTTTTAAATATAACCTTATCTGTAATATTGTAAAGTATTATAATTTTATTTAGAGTGCAATTTATCTTGTTATAATAAATACAAGACATTTATTATAGCAGTATATGAATAATGTAAAAAACATTAGAGTTGTTTTTATTATGTAATAAACATAAGATTAAAATCAAGTTTTGAATTAAATAATGACAACTTTTAGCACATATAAGTAATAACCAGAAAGGTCATCGGGTCAATGGCAAAAACACAAGAAAAACCTGAAGTTTACAGTTAGCATATCTTACATAGCCATCGATAATTTTACGCTTGTAACACAGGTTTTTTATTGTGTTATTTTTCTTACTGACCACACTATTGTGTATTTAATTAGCCGAGTATTTTTTGCCATTGTTGCTTTGGGTCGTGTCAAAAATGATATTATTAATAAAATTAAATTTAAACGTACCTTAAATAAAATATTTTATGTAAAACCATAGACTATTTAGATTAAATGTTGGTTTTTATAATCGCACGCAATTACCACCAAAAAACTAGTACGTATTGAGACATCCTGTATACAATGTTATGCGTCATTCTTCCACTGCAAAGAGTAAAAACAAACTTCATAAACGACGAATCAGGTTAGGGGGACATTCAGAATGCTCGATGATGGCACGAAACAAGTGGCATTAACCCTGAAGCATCAAAATACCGCATCCTACCGTTATTATCACTAATTCAATCTCTCATTTCGAAGATGAACAGCCACATTACCGGAACGCCGGCTTTGGCTCATTATTTTTTTATCGCGCCACGCCGCAGCCGACTCCGTCGCATTTTTGGCCGGTGATTTTCTTTTAGACCGTAGTTAATACGAGGTTAGAGCTTAAAGTTTTTTTTTAGGAGATACAATACGTTCGCTTAATATGGATATGCCATTTTTTATTCATTCTTTTGTTATTATTTTATTTTCCTTGTTTATATTGATGACCTAATTTTTATTTTGTATAATACTTGTCCTGATATACTATATAATCGTAAATATCACTAATGCTCTTATCTGGTTAGTCCATCTAAAATGAATAGCGCTGACGACCTCAGAATAAATAGGTTATGTGTGATTTATTACGTACAAAAATATTTTAGTAAAAAGACTGTTTGACATTTTCGTCTATCTATTGCTAAGCATATGTCGTTTTTTCGTTATTTTTTTACACATTTGTTTCCACCGTTTCGCTTGACGTCTAACGGAAATGAATGACTGTCAAAACATATACGAAAATCGAAACTTTAATTCTTCGAATCTCGATTTACAAAAACGTATTTCTTAGCTAACCTAAAAAAGTACGAATATTTAAAGTTGTTTAATAATCCGAGGACTTGTAATTAAATATCAAATAACATTTGAAATAATATTGTTAATACGTTAATTTATTATTGATAAGTCCGTTTTAAAAACATAGATTGGGCTCTCGCACGGCCTTTACGGTCGTAAAATTACCAACCAGTTTTTAAATGTCCGTTTTTCGGTACAAATGTTACTGGTCGATGACTCATGCCAGTCAACATTATAACACTTGTGTTAGCTTCATCTGTACAAATACGCTAATGGTAATGAAACTGAAATTTGTCCAACGTGCATGTAATTAAATAATAAACGAAAAAGAGTGGGAAAAATAGTGCTAATTGGATTAAATTCCGAGTAAATAAGAAATAGACCTTGCAACTCTATCATGTGTGTTTTATATTTTTATACAATAAATTAGGGTAGATAAATTCCATTAAAGTTATCGTAATCAAAAGATTTTTTATTCATAAAATAGACATACACAGTTAGACAACACGTGGCAAACATGTATAATAAAAAGCTTACAATAGTGTCAGTTGAAAAGTTTCCGTTACAAGAAATAACACTAAAAAGCTTTCACCTGTTCCCATGCATTCACAAGTCCATTTGTTTGAATGGATTTTTTTAAAATTTAATGAGACTAACATGAAAAGTGAATACTGTGTAACCTTCAAAAGACTCAAAAATAAATTAATTAGCAAATAGTTTTTTTCTTAATATTTGATATTTAAATCATAACACAATTTTTTTTAGTGGGATTTTTAAAGAAAAACACTGGTGACTAATTTTAATTTTTAAATAAATTTGGAATATCCATATTATACCAAAGGTCGACAGGAGAAAAGAAAAAAAAACAAAATATGACGGAACCTCCAAATAGTTACACCGTGTCGTCACAGACGCCTTTTTCGGAAGAAGGTTCAAAGCATTCCTTTTTTAAAATTTCAGAGCATTAATAATCGACGTTTATGTTGTTTTGTGGTCATATGCAAAAAAACAGAGTTATGCTTAGATTTCATTTGAGGTAAAAATTAGAATTAAACAGTCCACTAAAATGTTATAAACAAAACTAATGTAGTACACACTTGTTTAAATATTTCTGGCTCTCGGACAATGGTGGACCATCATTTATTATTTGATCTTTATGAAAAATATTTTGGGCCAAACTTCCTTCCGAAATTCCTTTGCTCTCTTTTAAACGAAACTTCATTTATAATACGACAATGAGTCGCACGAAACTGTGAGTATATTGTTTGTTGACCTTGTACCGCTTAGACCTCATTTAGTGTCTCATGAGAAGTGAAAGTTGACGGCCATGTGTGAAGATGGATGACTGAAGCACTGAGATTAAAAAATAAACAACGTACTTAACCGTATTACTAGGATTGAGGTGGCCATAGAGAAGGTATTATTTGTGCTAATTTAAAGCCAGAGCCAGCAACAAATGTAGCTATGGCATGATTATACAGTATCACAATGTCGTAAAATTATATCTGAAATAAGAGTCATAGAGCTACTGACAACTCTATGGTGACCAGAAAAGCACCTCTGTTATAAAATAGCTTAAATAAATCCTACCATCTCATATCTCTGCTATTTTTATTCATTTATCTTCGCTATATTTTCTTTTGTCATTTATGGCCTGTTTCCTAGCTACATATAATCATTCATTAGTGTTTTGGTTTGATATATTCATAAAATTCGTTTCCGATTTACATAATTTGAGTTTACCTCATAAAAATTTAGTTCAACCTAACACTAATGAATCACTAGGTAGTGATAAAATAAACGGAAACTACAGCAATCCAACATTTTTATTCAACTCTTATTGGCTACCAAAAGCATATAAATTTAGACCTTTCGTTAGGTAATATATTGTTCTAACTCGCTAACCTTTATCTTGAAATGATGACCGTGAATTACGTATATCAGTCAGCCTGTTCGATAAGCAGGAAGTTCGCCTTCGAGCGCATGTTAGCGGATTTCCTTGCGACGCTAGTGGCGGAGTCTATGCGTCTTCCGTTACGACATCGGCAGACTGTGTTCGTATGCGGATGTCTGCTTATTTACGCAATTCTTACTCATCGAATATCTCGGTGATTTACACGATTCAATAAGTCTGTTGTTCGTTTACAGTATTTGCAAAAATATTAATCTAAACCGGGTATAATAATGACCTAAATTCAATGTTCATATACGAAACAACTAATAATTTAACAAGGTTAGTCGGAATCGGTTAGTTTGATATTTAAATCTCGTGTTTCCCCCTAGAAGGTATGATCATAATCCCTTACTAACTGCTAACTTTATCTTACTAACATAATTGCGAAAGTTTAGATGGATGAAAGTTTGTTACAATTTGCCGCCTAAACGGAACAGATCTCCATGAAATTTGGCATAAATGTAGAGCATAGTTTAGCAGAACACATATACAGCATAATTAATTATTTACGGCTTACTCACGTATACTTTTCTTTTTCCGGTGACGGCACCGACCAGTTAAAAACTGTCTCACGATTATAAAATGTCTCACGAAAGTTTAAATAATTTAATTACATATACAGCATGTTGTTTTTTAATGCCACAATGATGGAGTCGCGGGCGAAATTTACTTATTTTACAATGATTTAGTTCCATGTGTAAAAGCGTTACCTTTTAAAGTAGTTGACAGTTGTATAATTAAAATTTGTGAACCGGTCGTGTCGATAAACGTCCTTATTTTAACCCAGTTAGTGGACAGAGGCCGAGGTCGTTTACTTCGTGTATGTGTTTGTTTAGGTTCCCAATTTAAATGCAGGTATCTACTCGTACATAAGTACAATATGTAGAGTTGTCTTACTTAGAGGTAACCAAACTACTTAATATTTGAACGGTTATTTTTCTCCAGTAATATTTAAAATAGATTCGATTTTGTTGACGCTTATGAAATGTTATGTTAAGATTGAAATAAACCCAAGAATAAATGAGTAAATATAGAAATATTATTATTATTTTTGCATTGAAAATAAGGTTGTCGCATTTTAAATATGCCATAGTAACGTAGAGGTTAATCTCGAGTGAATAAAATGTTTACTAACATTTAAAATAAACGTAGAAACACTTCAGCGGGGGTATTATCGCGCCCCTAAAAATACAAACATATTCGTGGATTAGCTTTTTAAGTTACAAGTATTTAATTCATGACAGAAGTATGCGAAAAAAACAAATTACGTATTCTATGTTTGAGACATTAACATGTGGCTTTTATAAAGGTTTATTAAGTACAAAAGCAAATTTACGTAAGTAGTTCCATTCACAATAACAAACATTAGAGCCTTGACTTCTACTATAAGGTTATACTAACAATAGGATAATGGTGGGACTACACAAGACAAAGAATAACTTACTTTATGAGACTCGTGTGTACTCAACTTATTGTCATTTTCTAAATCATTGCAATTAGGGTTTATGGCAAGGAGTGTTGACCCCACTACTATATGGAAAACAAGTTTTTTTCTTTTTATCTATACTAATATTATAAAAAGGAACGATTGAGATTTAGAAAATAACTCAAAAACTACTGGTCCAATTTCAAAAATTCTTTCACGATTGAAAGGCAACGTTATCAGTTAATAACATTTTTATTTTTCATCATTGTTTAATTACATTCGGGCGACGTCGCGAGCAAGAACTAGTTGTCTATAAAGCGATAATTCTGTTAAAATTGTTAGATTGCACTTAAAACGTTTGATATTTCTATGTCACCGTTCAGTTGGTAACACGGATTTCCACTAATGAATAATTCATGACCCGGCACAAAAATGGAAACCAACAAGTTCGAAATGTTAGACTGATGCGATATTTTTACTGAAATCATACACATCTTGGCAATATGAGCTCATATACCAAAGCTGGATTTATTTTAAATATAATATCTTATTTAGTTTGATCGTAGGTAACATAGAGCATGTTTAAAACGCTTTTTGCAAGACATAGCTCGATGTCTTTCTCGTATTAGACTTGCTTTTTCATAAACATGAGTGATATTTACTTTCATAATCCCCCTTAGAACATCTTAATGAAAAAATTCCTCTGATAATTATAATATCAGCTACTCAGTATACAGTAGTAATAATATTTGCATCGTACGAAATCTGTGCTTAGAAACTCCTGTAGTTACTAAAATTATCGAAAACTACTAAGTTAACGTTTCTATTCCTTTAGGTGCATTCACTGAAGAGTCAGTGATATCGTCTGATTTTCCAACGATAACCGGTCCTGATTCTATAGGTATACAAAATAGATTTTATGTCAGTTTAGCGACGTTTCTGTACTGTAATTCTTTCGCTACAAATTATTTTGTTACAGTAAGCCTATACCCTTCTTCAATACTTCCTAACTTGAAAGCAGGAAGCGCTTTTTGTAATTTTATAAGTATTATTATAGTTTAGTTGCACAATGTACAAGCATTGTTCTGTTTCAGACAATATTAATATTTTTTTTTACCTTCTTTTACGATGACATTTTCATTGGATATAATACCTCAAAAGTTTGTCTAAATGCCTAGTTACATCAAAAACATTATAAGAAATGATTGTTGTATTGCTTAATTTAGATTCACCTATTTTATGTTAGTATTTAGTTTTTGTATTAGTTTTAATTGTGCGTAAATTCAGTTACAGCGTCCGAAGATTATGTAACTACAGAAACAAATTCACCTTCAAATCCAGAAACTTCTACAGGTATAAAAACAAATATTTAGACTTTTGTTTACTAAACGTATCGTTTTGTATTCGTTATAAGTTTTAAAAGCTTACTAAATGTTGCCAGACATGTTTTTATAATTTCTTTGTTTGTTATTTAATTAAGTATTGATAATATTTGCTAGAGCAGGCGCATACCTTGACTAAACTATCGCATAACTGTTGTATGATTGTCGATTGTTTTGCAGCCCATCCAACTGTTTAGTTGCACAACTAATTATCGAGTAGTGTGTGCACTTCGAGCTCACAGAAATCAAAGCTAGACTAAACAGTTGTGCGATAGTTTAGTTTCAGGTGTACGCTGTAATGATTCAATTTGGATAATCTTTGTTGTCAATAGATAGTAGTTGCTCTTTACAATGAATTAATTGAAGTATATTTTATACTGCGCTAGCAAAATGTTTCTTTTCAGATATATTTTCATTCCTGCTAAGTATGTTATAAGCTCAACATCGCTCCAGCTAACTTGACTTAAGCTAGATTTGAGTTATGGCAAAATTCAAAATGAAAATTATTAATGGATAATAAGTTAATATATGGAATAATTAAACTAATAATACTAACATTTGTGGATTTGAAATGTAAGAATATAAAAATATTTACGAAGAAATGTATGGAGATATTGGTATAAGAAACTCAAGGCCAAGTTAAGTGTTCCCGTAACCATCGTGTATGGAAGGTTGTATGGCCGAAGATGATAGGTTGTGTGACAGAAATATGAATAATCTGAACTATCAGTCTGTTTTCAATAGATCGGATTTAGTTACAGACGATGAAGAAACTTCGATAACGAATGAATTTATGACAACACTTTCCAATCAAAACTCTTCCACAGGTATGAATATTTGAACTTAAATCTGTATCAAATACAAAATTTAGAAATTCGTGCAAAAAGACGTCTTCTTCTTACAGTATTGCATTACCATCTCCTCTACCTTAGCCTACTCCCGTTGGGTCGGCGCACCAGATTTTTGTCCTTCAAATAACTCTATCATACGTCATCTCAGTCATCACTCCCTTCTTGATCATGTCATCTTTCACGCAATCCTTGCATCTCTTTGTATCTACCTCTACTGGTACCTCCACACTCATAACTAACGTCTTTCTAGTTACATGCGATTCATCCTTCATAACATGCCAATGCCATCCTAACCTTTTACTCCTTATTTTTTTAAATATTAGCAGATTTTTGTTAATTTACTAATATTTCCTTTAACCACTTCAACTAAGCTCTACGCTTGTGTTAGGATATGGTTCACGAGAATAGAATGGCGGGATTCGAACCTTCGACCTTAAGATCGGTAGTCCGTATTCTAAACCATTAGGCTATTGGCGCTTAAACTCTACTACTTGGGCTACTTTTACAGTATTACAGTTGTTGATAAATTTTCAGTGACAGGCGTTGAGGTAACATCAGAAGGAATAGAATGGCAGAATGTTAACACAGAGTTATATACAGGTACTTCTATTGTAGGAAATAAAATTAAACTTTTTAAAATTTTCACCAAACTGTATAGTTAGAGCGCACACCTTTGACTAAACTATCGCCCAACTGTTGTGCGATTGTCGATTGTTTCGCGGCCAATTCATCAGTAGTTGCACAACTAAAAATTGAATAGGAGTCAAAGCGAGACAAAACCCTTATGCAATATTAGTTTTATGTGTGCAACATCGTAAAAAAACAAATTGTTAACAATATTTTGCACTCTATTACATAGATTTATTGAAACAGAATTATAGTTTCAGGATTCATAACGGTAAAAACAACTGAAGTTTCTACGTCACCAGATATAGAAACTAATTCAGGTATTTCGAAATATTTGAGTTGTATTTAGAGTAGCTTTTACATAGAATTTTTAGAACCATAGACACATGTTCTTTACTATATTCATCCATTCAATACTTTAAGATATATTGATATGTTTATAAGATTAGTGTTATTTAATATTTAACCGTCCATAACAATAGGTACAGATACGGAGATAACGGAAAACACAAAATATACAACAGCAACAAATAGTGAAACATTTTCTGATACTCCTAGTATTTTAGAAGGTATTGTGACTACCTTAAATAGTAGTTTTATTGTACCTTTTGTGGATATAGTATAAATCTTTTCAAATATGTTGGCGGCTAAAGATCATTGACAAAGCTCAGTGCTGTCTACCCACATCCTTGATCGCGTAGACACTCGTACGATGTTAGCTGCCAAGATATCTGCATAGCGAAATTTTGATGTTTTCAGTTGTGTAGTTTAGTTATTTTCTATTGTTAAATTAGATTCTTGTAATGGTCGCATTTTTACAATGCTGACGGCCGTCACGTTAAAACTCTTGGATCAGAGATCGTGGTTTTACACTGACCTGTGTACATGGACAGGCTATGACGTGGTTTTTGTGGCAATTTGGTGCCTGTTTTGCTCTTTTAATTGCGGTTGGTCGCCGTGGTAAGGATAGGTAACAGAATTTTATTCAACTACCAATAACATCGCCTGGCGCTTTTAAGTCGGAACGAAGCAAAAATAAGACCTGACCTATCCATTTTTACAGATCAGTGTTCTACATATATGTACATATCTATGACCGTGTTTGGTCATACATACTCGTTGGTTACGGGTACAACTTTTTTATATTTTTGATTGGAAATACCTGAGCAAAAATATATTACTCTTGGAGAAAAAGAAAAAATAATATGTATTACCTTCTGATAGTATTTACATTTTCATCGATTATGCAATATGTTTATTTTAGTTTTTATTAGTAGTAAGTTAATCTGGTATTGAATCTATATAATAATCTAATCAATTTTTTATAATCGTAGCTAAATAATAATTTAGTTTTGTTTCTACATTTTATTGATTCTTCTTTTTGACAAATTGCTACAATTAAATAATTTTCAATCTATTCACAATTTCAGATAATGACGTTGAGTCCAATGTGACTGAAATATCCCGGACTATTAAAAATGAAAATATCACAACAGGTACAAATTAAAATGTCACGTTTTGTAGTTCTTTTATACTAATAAATAATTGTTAATAAAATACAACTATAATACGCTTATATTACGCAATTTTGTTATTATTAGTAAAGTTATATTAATAAGTAGGTATTTTTACTTTACTTTTTTTATTTTATTTACTTATTTTAAACGATTAATATAATTGTTACTAGCGATATTAATTTAACAATCCACTAGAGATCTCGTCAGGAATCCGCGAGAATATTCCAATCCTTCTAATGACATTGACAGCTGTCAGCTAGGGACGTGACGTTTATGCCGACAATCTAGTGTTGCATCAATTCTAGAGCACGGTACTAATTTTCTTCTTAACTTCACTTAGTACAACCTTAAGTATAACAATAAGCGATTATATACTCGAAAGTTTGGAAGAAAAGCATATACATCTATAGAATACCCATTTCTCCAATTTCCAAGTTACACATTAACACAATGTATTATTAACTATCTTACTAATATTATAAATGGGAAAGTTAAGGGCCTGTCCCACCACTAGCTGATAAAGACTCAGATAGTTTAAAAATGACGTCATTGTCAGTTAAGGGAACAAGATCCGATATTTGAAGCATACATTTTACATGTTGGATTGCTATCAGTTCACAATTTGGTGGGACAGGCCCTGAATGCAGAGTTGGTAACCTAAGCAGCTGCATAGATCTCATTGAAATTTGGAATAGATGTAAAGGATGGTCTGGAAGAACACATAGGGCTACTTGCTTTTGTTTTTTCTTAATAAATGTTAATTATTTCAAATGGCTTTTTCCTTTAGGTGTAGAAACCAAACGAGTAAACACTTTAGTATCGACAGAGCCGTATTCAGTTACAATAACAAAACGTGAAGCAGGTATTATTGAATTTCATTAGTAGATTTACTAGTAGTTATTAATCGTAATTAGTAATTTTAGTAGATAGTAATGTAGTGTTTTGTTTTACCCAAAATTCTGACTATTATTTACCACTAGCCGTTCCCGTGCGACTTCATCCGCATAAAATTATGAAAATTTCATTTTATTGTTTACATGTGTCAGATTATCAATTGCAAATGTCAAAATGACATGACATGATGACAACCTTGCTTCCTTGATGTTGGCAGCAACTTATGGTCGCTTTCCCATATTAGGGTTTTTATCCAAAATATTTACCCCCTAAGTTTAATGACGTAAAAATATATAGCCTAAAGCGTGACGTAAGCATAGGGCTTTTTATTAAAAAAATAATTATTCAAAAATATGCTGTAATTGCTGAGATCTTAGGCAACAAAGAAGTGTGTGTTTATGCTTTATTATAATAGTATAGAAGTATAGATAGTATAGATTTAATGCCGTTTCATTATGAGTTATCTTACTAATATTATTAATAAGAAAGTTTTGATGGATGTTTGTTAGAGTTTGTAGTATAAACTGATGAACGTTCGATTAAATTTTGACATAGATATAGAGCCTTGTCTGAAGGAGCACATAGATTACCTATGTTTTTGTTTTAATTTCACGTGGACCTCCACGGCCGAAAGCTAGTAATACTGCAGCCATACTAATTTTATAAGTAAAGTGTCATATTATTTGTATTAACATGATTGTGATGTTGTAATAATTCATGACCGTGTTTGTAGAAACAATAACTTGGTTACGAAATTACTTTATTAAAGCGTATAATTTAATTCAGAATCTTTAGATGTGGATACTACCCTTACTGTCCGGAAGTCATTAGATATGTCGACGGTGAACACTAAAAGATATACAATGCCCAGTACTGAAGCGTATACAGGTACTAAAACGTTTTTAATTCTGTTATTGTAGTGATGTATTTAGAGCGCGCACACCTAAACTATCGCATAACTGTTTAGTCTTGCTTTGATTCCTATGAGCTAATGGAGGTGCGCACTCTACTCCATTTTTAGTTGTGTAACTAAACAGTTGAATTGGCTGCGAAACAATCGACAATCGCACATTTGCGCGATAGTTTAGTCACAGGTGTGCGTCTGCTCTTAATTTATATAACTAGTAGTTATAGTGTAGAGTAAGTAGTGAAGATAATGATGCTTGTATACAAGTAGAATTTGAATATTTGTCCGATAACTTGCAATGTTTATGATCTGAAGGTCATTATAATAAATTTGCATTTTGTAATTCAATGAATTGGATTTTTATTTCCAGACATCTACAGTACAGTTAAATCTACATTATCTTTGAAGAAAATAATTTTACAATCAACAAAAGGTATACGCAAACATAATCTATAAACTGATGTTTTTGTAGTAATCATTGTTACAATATTGTGTTTAAAATATACAAGACACACGTTAGTAAAAGTGTAAATTAAATAACTTTTTTTATTTAACCCTTCCTAGTATCCTACACCTTATCCTATAATTAGTAGATTATAGCTAGAATTAGAAATAAATGTATTCAGTAACGTGCTTGTAAAATGTATTTGTAACGTAGAAATTAAAAAATATCACCCTGTATATTAGTAATTTCTCGTTTAATCAATTGTTGCTACATCAGTAGATTTTTAGATACGACAATGATTCTATTTTTATATAGTTTTACTATCTAAAATGTATTTAATTTAACCATAGTGATGTTAACGGTATCTACCAATTTAATGTAGTTAATCTTTCTTTTTCGAGATTATTTTTAATAATCTTTATTTCTATTTCAAGGTAAAATGACAACCGACGAGGAAGAAGTACCCCAACGTCAGCCGTCGCATCTCACCATACCGCCGTTCATCTTCACAACAACACAACAACCGAAGAAGATGTTCACAGAAACACCAACAACAACCACAACTGTAACACCATCCCCACCAATAACAACACTAGCGACACCCACCACAGATTCTAAAATAGACGTAGAACCAACAGAAATGACTGATCTAACCGATTCAATATTAAAAGCCAAACCAAGATTATTAGATTTAAGTGTAGATGAACTGCAGAGCTTTGCAAATGCACTACACAATCAAACGAATCAAGGTATAAATAGGAAACTTTCTGATATAAGCGAAGTATCTTTGGACGTAGATGAAGATGACGAACCACCAAGATTAATTACCAGCATACCTAAGAATAAAGATATCACAGATAAATTTTATTCTAACCTCCAAGTTCCATTTAATCCATTATTGTCAATCGATAAATCAGATGAAGTGGAAATGTGTAAGGAAAATGAAATCATTTATAAGGTAAGTCAATCAAAACTTTAAATATTTTTGCGGCAATTATAGATCGACTTATTTTTTCTGACCCGAAGGGAAAATGTCAAACTAAATTATTATTACTCACTAGCGCCCTCCGTAAAACAGTGTCACAGGATCCTTTTTGCATTGTAGTTGTTAAGATAGCTGTCATCCCATGTTTTTTTCTTGAAGACTTGAAGCCTTGGAGTTGTCGAAACCAAAGCCCCCCCTACTATTACTATTACACCCATATAGATAATATATTTACTGATAGAACTAACTTCTCTCATCATGCCAGATATCCTTGTTTAACTAGAAAAATATAATTAGTGCTTTGTTCCTCCGATCACACATAAAAATTGATCGATGCCTTGTTTTGGCGAATTTTTTAGTTTGACTTTTTGTGACTGAGACATTTTTTAAATATTCTTAGAATTCAATTAAAACATAACTTCTCTTAATATAGCCCGATAAGCGAATTTATAAAAAATGAAACATTTTAGTGGCCATAGCCGAACCTTGGACTAATTCCCACCTTATACAAATATGTGTACAATTAACTATTGTTTACTCTAAGTTTGAGGTATTTATTGTCTCTATGCCAAAAGTCATTGTTTATTAGATAAGCAAAGCGTGTGATTTTGAAACAAAAGCTAAGCTACTGTTAGTTAAAGACCAACTTAAAAACAAATAATTGGTAAAATAGACTTTCATACTAGAGCAATTTTTTTATAATACAAGGTGGCAACGAGCAAGCGGCCACCTGAATGCACAGAAATGGAAAGCGACCGCTACCCATAAACATCCGCAATTGCCTACCCTTAAATGACGGAGGAGGAGACCCACATAAAGAGGACATTTTCCCTTCCTATGCGTCTCCTCCAACGTCAAATCCACTTTCACCCTCTCCTCTTAAGAAAAAGGTGGAAAGGGAAAGGAAAAGAAGCAAAAACCAACTAATAAATATCTGTAACATATATTGCAAGCCAGTCATATATAACTTCTTTAAGCCAGACATTTCATGCCAGTTTTTCTAAATTTCCAAATTCTGTTTATTCCAGGTAGGTGATAGAATAGACAGGGGATGCGATGAAACTTGTGAATGTACTACTTCTGGTATATTCGAGTGCACGCCGCGCTGCAAGCATCCGTATACACGTCGGGGGAGACGACTGAACGATCCTCTTTGCTTCGAATCACCAGTAGATGAATGTTGCTCTATTATTGCGTGTTCCACCGGCACTGGAGGTAACTATCATTCCATACACGGATGACGTCATGATTGTTAGATTATAATTTGCCTAGAGAGTTTTTAATATATGTGTCTACTATCTATTTGGATAAAATATGGGTGTTGCTGAGCACTTTGGTGTTCCTGTCGATCACCAGCTAGTCTATATCTGTACTTATATGGTATAGAAAAAGAATTGTAATTTTTGATGTATTAAAATAAGTCAAAGACTACTTTGCCGATTTAAAAAATCCTTTCACCAGGCACACTACGGTATCACTGAGTAACATTGGCTATATTTATTCCGATTATTTTAATTCCTTGCTGACGATATCGCGAAAAACATTTAGTCTTTTACAAAAAAAATGGTAATTTTATAAGATTTTTCTAAAAATTACATGAATATTCTGGCAATATTTAAGGTTATTTTTTACATCATTGTATATTATTTTTTATTAATATTTAACCAATTAATTTTCAGCTACTAAGGCAGACGCGTGCAAATTCAAAAATGAGAGCTACGCTGTAGGGTCAACCTGGAACATCGGATGTCAACAGACGTGTGTGTGCGAAGAGCATTCGGTGATATCTTGCAGACCTAGGTAATGTAGTTTATTTCACTAATATTACTGCAAAGAAAAGATTAGACCAACAATGTCTTTTGCAGGTTTTAATGTATGTGTGTTTGTATCTCTTGAATTTTAGATGCAACCGGCTACAAACATCAGAGAAGTGTATAAACGTGCAAGATCCGAATGACAATTGCTGTGAGATACAAGTCTGTGATGTATCGTCTGATGCGCACGAGGAGCCAGAGAATATCACAATGACTACATCAACCACCACAACACCATCGACAACCACACTGATCACAACTACACCAGTTACCACCACCACTTCAACCATGATTTCGTCTTTTCTGGCATCAGAGGTAAGTCTCTGTGAGAATGTAATAGATGTTTTGCATTACATTTGGAATGTTTAATATAAATTTGAGATAACTAAGTTTCTCGATATTTTAGGAAACTGTAATACATACAACAAAAAAGTCTTAAAGAACGCTCGTTATATCTGCTATAATTTTTATTTAATATGCTTTAGTCTTTTGTTTTCTGTTTTTTTTTTAGTTCATAACATAGGTTGAGTTCAAGAAAAAAAGCTTTTTCCTTTACTGTGAAAATAAAAAAACAAGATTTGTTATATTGTCGTTATATTCTTTCAACACGAGAATTGGAAAGGAGAGCTTTTTTGCATTATTTGAGCGTTCCCTAGCCTTTTTAAAAGTGGAATTAGAATAGAAATTTGCATTTAAAATTTTATAATTTACTTTCCCAGACTGGAAGATCGTTGGACGATGAGAATGAATCCTTCAGGCCGACGATCAGACCTCTTGTGTTAACAGAACCGATAGGATCAGTAACAGTACTTCAAAACAATAGTGTGCAAGTCAACTTAATGCATATGAACAACAGCGAAGATCCAATACATCTCTTGCTAAGTAGCGATGGTGGAAGAACATTCCGGGACGTAGAATTAAGATATACTAATCTGATACTAAACCTAGAAGGTGGCAAGGATTATATTTTGAAAACAAAAGAAACAGGAACTAAATTTAACTTCACAATAACAGCAACGGATTCGACTTCTAATGAAGTTCCAGTAGAAGAAACGGCTAATACGTACAAAATAGGATGTCATCAAGATGGGAAATTTTATGCTGTTGGTTTGTACAAATTAATATATTTTATTGCAAGATTTTGACATAGATAAGACAAATCGGTTTTGCAAATGTAGTATTTTAAAGAATGTAGAATTCTTTCGTAACTTAATAGTTACCTAAGTAAAATTAATGTTTTACTTATACTAATCGTGCGATATTATAAATGAAGAGTTTGATGTTTGATAGATGATATATCCAGAACGGCTGAACGGATTACGCTGAAATTTGGTACAGTTATAAAACATAGTTTGGAAAATCGCATAGGCTACTAAGTTTTTTTTAAAGTCCACACGGACTAAGTCGTGTACAAATGCTACTTTTACGTATAAAATTATTATTGGCGACTGAAAACCTATAAGTCGTAGTTTTCTATCTGGTAAAGGAGTGTTTATATTGAGTCTTCCAGTGACATTCCCCTATTTAATACCTTTACTGTTAAGTACAGCTGTAAATGTTACCAGGTGAGGAGTTCCACATCGGATGTTCAGAGTTGTGCGAGTGCACCGGGGAGGAGAGACGCGAGTGCGCGGCGCTGGTGTGCCCCTCGCACGTGGGGCTGGAGCTGGTGAGCAAGGGCTGCGTGCGCTGGGCCACCAGCCCGCCCGCGCACCCCCCCAACTGCTGCCCGCGGACCGCGAGGTGTCTCAGTGATGGCACTTGCCATTATAAAGGAGTCGCGTAAGTATTGAAGTCAATTTATTCATTCATTCATTCATTTGTGTGTAGCCTATTGGGTACTTTTAAGTAAGAGTATAAGCTGAGTACTTGAGGACGATTTTGATGAAAATTCAATAAAACCCTTATCCAATTAAATCAGGTGCTAAAAATAATAATGAAATCAAACTGTGTGTTCTTAGTTCAGACACTATTAATTCAACCATTCTTAGATATATTCTAGGGTTTTTTAAATATGCTCTTGTATTACCATAGAAAGGATGGACGGATTGTATGAAAGTGAATAAAAATAAATAAGCATGATGCTCTTGTAGCAATAAATAATTGTTTTTCACAATATCAGAGTACCAAACTGGAGCGAAGTTCCGTTAACTCTGACTGGCTGCGAACAGCGTTGCTTCTGTGAGAATGGTGAACTGGACTGCCAGGAGGTGTGCTCGCCATTGCCCTCGCTGCCGCCGCAGACACTGCGGTGTCCGCCGAACCACCGCCCCGCAGCCGTCAACATATCTGACGAGGATTGCTGCAAGCAATGGGGATGTATACCTAATGGTAAGGCTTAAAATGCTTTAAGTAGATATTGGTGGTATGACATTGCATGTTTTCATACTTGATTTACTAGACGTCTGTTGTACAGAAATTTATTCTCAATTTACACATAACAATTGACACTTAACTAATATTAAAACAAATTTGCTGTTCCGATCATTCATAATAAAAAAACTGTCATACATTGCATGCTCACCATCATCATAATATTGTTTGCAGCTGGATACAAGAATGGATCCAAATATTCTCATGTATTTCCATCGCATGACGCATCGCAGACTCACGTGACCCCGGTCGCGCCTGTCCTACCGACTGCCACGACACCACTGCCCACGACACTCGCCATGACTGAGACCAATGACTTCTTTAGACATCTGAACCCCGCCAAGACCAGACTCAAAACCAACAAACTTTTACATCCGCCTGACCCCGGCCCCATCGCCGACGACTCACCGTACCATTACGTACACCAGACAAAGAATAACACCTTCGCCATATACAGCCCGAACGAATTTCATAGACCATTCAAATTACTACAGCCCATACCACCCGTGACAAGCATAAATGTCAACTGGAAGTCCTTAGAGCCACCGAATAAATCCGTCCTTGTCGCACCCGTGCCCGTCTCTATTCAACCTCACATACCGCTCGCTTCACACCATGGTGATGCAAGAACAAATTCACAAAACCATTTGTCTTACGTCTTACCGGACAGCAAAATTCAAGATTTGTTCGAAAAGTACAAACACAACCAAATGATGGATGCAAAATCTATATCAGACCACGATGAGTATGTGCAACAAATGCACGATTCCGTCAGCAAAGTGCCGCTTCTACAAATGCATAATTTAAATTACTTCTTACCGGTCTACGACAAAAAGATACCAAGTCACGTTCCATTTAGTTTTGGTGAAACAAAGACAACACCGGGCAGCGCAAAACTTACGAAAACATATTTCGAACCCATGTTCAATCAGTCAGCGGATTATTATAGAAAATATCCAAACCCACAGACATACAAAAATGGGCGCCATGACGTTCACGGGTTACACGGAAAACATGTGACTATATTACGCAGCAAAGACTTGAAACCTATGCGACCTTCTGACTCAGGGAACAATGATAAATCCTGGCCACCGACTAACGTACACGTTTTAGCGAAAGCCCCGAACCCTTACGAGACGGTTTTATTTCGAGTGTTGCCAGAACCTATAACCGATATGCAAAAAGTATCTAGCAATAGTGTTAAGCTTAATAAGGTTTCAGGTAAAAGCTATTCTACATTAGACCTGGAGCATATGCTCTCACAAATGGAGGTGGAATCGGAGGTGAATAGGAACCTTGGTCGTTCGGCTGACAAAGATATAGGGGAGCACGCGGCAGGTCAGTGACCTGGCCTACGTTTGTGTTTGTACTACGACTCTAGTAAATAAATGACTTTAGATATGTGACTTACTGACTGTTTGTAAGATACAGCGAGCTGCAAATATCCATATTAGATTCGTAGACTTGAACTATAATTTTTAACGTTTTTGCACAGAATATTTACTGGTCGCTGGAATGTCAAATATTAATCCTTTTACCTGACAGCATTATTATGTCCACGTTTCTATTAGGTTTGTGCTAATTAGGAGTATTTTTAAAGATTTTACGTGTCATGTTATTTGTTAAAATATAATTATAAACGTTAGTAAGCTTTCGAAATGTTAGGTTTTAGTTGCAAAGGAAGATACAACTGTATAAACAAACTTAGTAATTAAATACTCGAAATATAATGAGTGCCTACCTTAAATAAGGATTTCTTTAAAACATTCACATATGTTATAATTTAATATGTTAATATACTCATAACCTTACGCTTCACTTATATCCTAAAACTCTCACGTCATAAAACTAATTTAATTAATTTTTTAACCTGTTTGTATTAATTGTTCTTTTTTATTTCTCGATCAGATAAATGTTAAATATCTCTTCTGACAATTCAACCTTTCAGGTCCAATGCCAGGTTTTCCAGGTAAACCTCATCCACCTGAGTTCATACCAACTATACCTCCAGAGGTCCGATACCCACAAGAAGAGATAGTAGATTATGAACAGAACAATATACATCGACCACTCAATCTTGATCCATCGCTCGCCGGAATACCGATGCCACCGTCATATTCTGATGACAATAAAAAACTGTCCGTTATTTTACTACAATCGGACACACCGACAAGTGTTAAAATGATTTTCGGCCTACCTCCAGTTTTAGTCGGGTTACGAGGGAGCGTCGACCTTCGATACACTGATACGGCGTAAGTATTATTATTTAGATTATCTATAATTCTGATATTTTGTCACAAGACTATGTATAAATATTAATCACTTACAATAACTATTAGGGACGAGGATATATCTCATTGGTATTCACAAATATTTGCTCCTGCGGATGAAATTCTGGGCACACAGAGGTTGGACTTCAGACTGACTGGTCTGAAACCTTCTACCACGTACAAAATACGTGGCAAATTGTACTTACATAATCTGCCCGTTGAACCGGAGAGTGATGTATTCAATGTGCGCACTCTAGATTTGCCAGCGGTAAGTTAATCTTACTAATATTATAAATGCGAAAGTTTAGAGGGATGTTTGTAGCCCTAACGGCTGAATGGATTTCAATGAAATTTGGTACAGATGTAGAGGATAGTCTGGAAGAACACATAGGCTACTCAATTTTGTTTTTCTTATTCTACGCGGACTAAGTAGCGGGCGAAAGTTATCTAATCTTTTAAAGCATAAATGGGCAAATACCGGCCCGCGGGCCGCACTTAACCCGCTGTTAAATAGATCCGGCCCGCGAGACATTTAAAAAATCCATTAAAAAAAATAATAGGTTCTTATACTCAGGAAGTGACCGGGAAGCGGCAAATATCAAATCCTTTGATGTTGCGGCCCGCGAACGTATTTGCACGCTAAAGTTTGTCTCTCAACATGTCAAAGGTTGCCCATACCTGTTTTAAGGTATTATACCAATTTATATGGAGTGTTTTTTAATTCAGGTTCAACCCGAGGAAGAAAAGCGACGTGAGATCAACAGTAGATTAACAGTGGTAGAGGTCAACGATACTACCGCGCGCCTCAGTTGGAGACACTTCACTGACGACGAACTGCAGTATATTGATGGTATTCAAGTTCGGTACGTATGGCATTTTGTTCACAGAACAGCTACTTAAAACTGGCATGATGGCAGATCACTAAGATTTTACTGAATGCGATTTTACAGCAGTAAACTTCTACCGAAACCTGCTAGGACTATTTACTAGACTATTTATAAGATTTATCTACTTGCATATGCACAAATGTTTGTGACAGAAGTAAAATAACACAATAATTTTGGATCTATCGGATCCGAGTGTCGCGAGGGTCAGTAATAGTAACTTCTACTACGATGTAAGAATAAGTCTGTTTGTTTTAAAAGGTTTTTTTTTTATTAAATAAATAACATAAATACATATTCATAATTTGAAACATTAATTTAAAGTTAATCATAATTTATTTTAAATATGTTTCCAGCAAGTTTACAGCATTAAATGTGTTAACTTTTGTGGTTTTATTGGCATCTGAAGAATAACTGCGTGTGTTAGGTATCGTCCGGTGGGCACGCCTATCTACAGTATGACGGAGGTGCTGCACCACGCGCGCGCCGCCGCCGAGCTGAGCGCGCTGCGCCCCGCCGCCCGCTACGAGGCCGAGCTGGTGCTGATCCCGCCGCCGCGCGCCACCACCGAGCTATACGATAACACTAAAGTCGAGTTCACAACATCGCCTTATGTCGGTATGTGAATGTCTTACTAATGATATAAATGCGAAAGTTTAGATGGATATGCCTGTGTTTGTAACTTAAATTGTTGTACGAATCTCGATGAGGCCTAGATGTAAAGCATAGTGTGGAATCACTGTAGAAACCTAGTATTTAATACTCGCTTTGTTCAAACTCGTAATAAATCTACATTAACGGTTTGAGTGCGATGGAAGATTCACTATTGATATTAAAAAAATATAAAATGTCTCTAAAAAATCACGTTTTAGTTTATTTGTAATAGAACTACAGTAAAAAGGGAAGTATGCAGAATAACCGCAAAAAAAGATTTGCATCGACCGGGAATCGAACCCGGGCCGCCCGCGTGGCAGGCGAGCATTCTACCACTGAACCATCGATGCTTGGGTGTGTATTGTTAAATGTTTGATAATATGAATCGTGAAAATGACGTCATCTAGTTTAAAAATAAAACAAAATCGTATTTCTGTGTATTAATGCCGTGAAAATTGTAAACTTTAACCTATCGAAGACGTATTGTTATAACAATTAAAATTGATGTTTTTTTATATTATTTTCATCAATAAAAGTCAACAATGGAATGTTCCAGATCCATACAATTGGTCGGTAACGGTAGAGGTGCATACGGTGGGCGCGGTGGCGGCCGAGCTGATGTGGCACGGCGTGCCCGCGCCAGCCGAGCGCTGGGTCAGGATATACCGGGCGGCGCACGCGTGCGGGGCCGCGCGCAACGAGCACGACGACTTCCGACTGGCCACACGAGACCTCCCCCCCACTGTCACTCTTAATGGACTTACACCTAACTCTAAGTACGTTGCATAATTGGTAAAACTTCTATACAACCCCACTGAGGGGTCTATCCTAAGTTAGGCAACTAGGCCTTAGTCAACCACGCTGAGGGGTCTATTCTAAGTTAGGCAACTAGGCCTTAGTCAACCACGCTGGCCCACTGCGAGTTGGTTTCACACATATCTTTCAATTTCTTCGCAGATATGTGCAGGCATCGCGATGTTTTCTTTCACCGTAAGAACGTTCGGTAAATTATGTACATATAAAATTCGGAAATCACATTGGTATATGGCGGGATTCGAATTCAAATCAAGTGATTTACATTGATCGAGCGTCGGTGGCTCAGTGGTTTGAACACTTGACTTGTAATCTACAGGTCTTGGGTTCGAATCCCGCCATGTACCAATGTGATTTTCGATTTTTCGAATTTCATATGTACATAATTTACCCGACGTTCTTACGGTGAAGAAAAACATCGTGATGCAACCTGCACCTATCGGCGAAGAAATTCAAAGATATGTGTGAAGTCAACCAACCCGCACTTGGCCAGCGTGGTTGACTATGGCCTAGTCACCCCGTATTAGGGTAGGCTCCGAGCCCCTCGGTGGGGACATATAGTGAGCTGGTGATGATGATTTACATTGATACTCGATTACAAGTCAAGTGCCCCTAAATCTTTTGATCGGAGTGAAACGGGCAAGGGTTTCACAAGCTTTTTTTTAACTTTTTATATGAACATTATAACTTTCAGATGCCGAGTATGGCTTGAACTGTACTTGACGAATGGCAAAGTGAAAACCAGTAATGTCGTAGAGATACACACAAAATCTGAAAACTCTCCGGAGACTGTTGACAGTAAGTCATTTGTAATAGATTAATTATTAATTGAATTATTGAAAATAACAGAAACGTAGTTTTTTGTTTATTACAGTTCCTATTTTTTATCTTAATACTGCGCGGACAGAGTTGCGGGCAACAGCCAGTAATAACTAAATTTGACGTACAATAAAGGCTCCGTCTGTATCTTTTATATTATTTTTGTGTATGTTATTTTTTTATTTACGCAGACTAGTCTATATCTATACGAATATTATAAAGTGGAAAAAAATGTATTTTTGTATGTAATGTAATAACTCAAAATCTACAGGGCCAATTTAAAAAAGTCTTTCACCATTAAAAAACCACGTTATCATTTATTAACATGGGCTATTTCTCAACATGGACAAAGCCGCAAGTAACAGCTAGTAATAAACTTGACAGATATAATAGAGGCGTCGTCAGTGTCGGGGGGTCGCGGCGGGGCGCGCGGGGACTACTACGGCGCGCTGGTGGCGGTGGGCGTGGTGGCGGCGCTCGGCGCGCTCACCTCGCTGCTGCTGCTGCTGGTCGTGGTGCGGAGGCACCGCCCGCGCTCCGTGCCCATCACGCGTGAGTACACGTCACACGCCACACGTCACATGACACACTTGACACAACATGTGCCATGTGATACAAGTGTCACGTAAGCGAAATACTGCTGTGACTTTATATTATAACCTTTATTTTTATAAACGCAAAAGTTTAGAGGGATGGATGTTTGGTAGAGTTTGTAGCCCAAACGACTGAACGGTTCTTGATGATTTGGAAAAGATGTACATAGAGGATAATCTGGAAGAAATATAAAATTAATAGGCTACTTACTTTTTTATTTCACGCGAACGGAGTCGCGGGCGAAAGCTAGTGCAATGCAAATAAATGCAAATTAACTGTCTACCAACATCTTACTGCTTCCAATTAATATGGAATATTTTCAGCGGTGCCGTCAGCGCCGCGCGAGTCCTCGCTGCCGCCGTACGACAACCCCGCGTACAAACTGGAGCTGCAACAGGAAACTATGGGTAATGGGAATTATAAATTTAGCATGTGGTAAATATAATCAATACTTCATATGTATGCAAACTAATAATTAAAATGTACTAACCTCTTTATCTTAAGATTTATATTGCGATAACACGAAAGAAAGAATGAAATCTAAAAGCCTTCAATTTTCTAATGAATCGCTAATATTTTAGTTTAGAAATTGAAGAAAGGGGAAAATGAAAGAAGTCTTAAGTGTATAGAAATTTATTTATTAACTTACTAACCATCGGCATGATATATACTTTCTTAAACCTTTGGGTCTAAAGGAGAAAGGAAATTAAGGTAATTCAAATCTATGGTATTCAACTGTTTTTTCTACTATATCTATCTGGTGCATAGTCTATAGTTTTTTGTATAAAATTTAAGGTGGCAAACGAGCAAGCGGGTGCCTGAATTCGTCAAAACGGCGAAGCGATCGCTGCCCATAGACAACCGCAATTCCAGAAGGGTTCGCACCCTTAATCGACGGAGGAGACGCTTATAAAGAGGATATTGCCTTTTCCTATGCGTCTCCTCCACGGTCAAACCCACTTTCTCTTCCCATCCTTTTCTTATAAGAAAAGGGTGGTAAAGGGTGGACTTTTATTAGGCCTTTATTCACTATTTAAGGAAATTTAAAATTATTAATAACAAAAGGTGTTTTGTTATTGCATAAAATGAAAATAATTTTGTAATCACTCGTCTTGAAATTCATGCCATTTGCAAAAAACATTTCATATCGTATTTGATCTTTTTACATCTTTTTTTTAATGCGCCGTTTAATTATTTTTCGTTGTTTACAGATCTCTGACAGTTAAGTTCCCGTGGGCACCAGGGTAATGGGCTCAACGGGATGGCAGCCAACGAGCCACAAGCGAGGCGCAGGCCGTATAACGAAATGGCCGTCTAAAACAGATTATAAACTATAAGCCAAATGTATACAAGCAAGTGATTGAAGTATACAATAACAGCCAAAGTATACACACTGGTTAAAGTATACAAAGTGGTCAAAGTATACACAGTGGTTAAAGTATACAAAGTGGTCAAAGTATACACAGTGGTTAAAGTATACAAAGTGGTCAAAGTATACACACTGGTTAAAGTATACAAAGTGGTCAAAGTATACACACTGGTTAAAGTATACAAAGTGGTCAAAGTATACACAGTGGTTAAAGTATACATTTGGTAAAAGTGTTAAAGTGGCAGAACTATGTGAACTAATCACTATTGTGAATTAAATGCATTGTGTAGAGAAGAAGTTAAATTACTATATTAAGGTGGGTACACACTACAGCACATACAAGTGTCCTAGTGTATGCCTTTATAATTTTACTTTTGTAAACTCTAACTGACAAAGTGCACTTTTGCTCAATAATTTGACAGATTATAAAATTTTACGGGATTTTTTATAGTTTTTTTTATTGATTCTGTCAGTTTAATATATGCGCTATGTTATCTGTGCACTTTGTAGTCATGTCAAATATAATTTATTTGATATATAGTTTGACCAGAAATATAAAACCTCACACCATATTGCGAATATTACAGAACTAATTTCTTTTAGGTTATGAAGGAGAGGTGTTCTATTTTTCTGAATTAACTATATTTTAATTATTAAATAGAATTGTTAAAGGCTAAATGAGTGCACTTGTACCTTTATTGTAAATAGTGTCAATAAATTATATACATGTATAGAAATAATTTGTTAAAAATATTGACAAATGAGAATTATGTATGTTAGTAACATATCTCCATTGACGGAACCAACAAATGCATGCCATCTCTATCACTCTCTCTAAAAAAACTGAGATAGCATGTATTTGTACAGTTTTTCGCTAGTGGAAACTTATGTAAGTTAAATTAATATGAAATGTGCATTTGGGACGCTATTTGATAATTAGCTCTGAAAAATGCTCTTCATTTTAACTTTTTTACACGAATTAGATCATTAGTATTATAATAAAAGAATATTTTAAATTTACTGTTATATACCGACAAAATTTACTAACCCTTGTTAAGTAAAACTAACTATATCTCACTAGCGCCCCCATTAATATGAAAATTGTCAATATATTCTTATATTAACTGTATTATCATGTTTTGTAAGAAAATAAAACATATTAAGATATAAAGAATGACAAAAACATTAAGACTTCAGTAACAGACACATTAACACTAACCTCGTCCCCAACTCGTCTGTTCTGTACCGTCAGTTAACGCGTGACGTCATGAAGCCATTGGTAAAGATGCATACGAGAAATACAATAAAGATTTTATAACACTTTTGGTATAAAGCGGCATTAGAACTATAATTTATTTTGACTTATGTCCACGTCGATATCTACTCGTATATCGGTCTATTTCACATTTTTGGTAGAACTAACTATAATAGCATCGCTCTTAACGGGCCAAATATATCGAATTATCATCTATAGGCCTAACAGTCGGCTTTGATTTGTGCATTTACTACCCATGGGTTCCCTTTATAAAGCTATAATACATTTTGTTTGAAAAAGGTAACATATTAAGAGTTATCCGGCAGTGGAAATGTACGGTAATCCTAGCTAGTAAACGCACAAACCAAAGTACATAATAGGCATTTCACAATACTTATTTAAATACCGATGTTACGAGGTGTAACATTCATACTTATGAGCTCATTAGGAAGTTCATTTCTCGTAACACTATTCGTCAGTATGCCGTAGTAAAAATTTGTGGATATATCATAATCAATACAATTTAGTTTAACAATTTATCGTCACGTTTTAATGTGACAAAACTATCGCACAACAGTTGTGCGATTGTCGATTGATTCGCAGACAATTCAACTGTTTAGTTGCACTATAAAAGTCGAGTAGTGTGCACCTTCATAAAAGTTCATATGAATCAAAGTAAGACTAAACAGTTGTGCGATAGTTTACTCAAAGGTGTGCGCGCGTTTTAAGTGTATTTTCACCGCAAATGTGCCTTTCTGAATAACATTTAATGTAAAAGTTACCTAATATGGAATTAATAAGTTTCACCTATTTTAAGAAGAAGCATTGTTATTTATATTGTTAATTGTCATTAAATAAACAAACTATTTATAAATTTACTTTATTTTACAATTAAGAAACACTTTTTTCCTCCGGTGACGGCACCGACTAGTTTCGGATCCTTCGGGGATCCTTCTTCAGGGCGAGTATTATTTAACTTTTGTTCGCGGTCGCGTCGCCCCTCGCACTACGGGCCAGGGCGCGGAGGGCGCGGAGGGCGCGGTTCGAGGGGGCGGGGGGCGCCAAGAGCGTTGTGGCCGCTTCGTGCTTCGGCGACGGAGATGTCGACGGGTTCAAAATTGTTGTTATTAAAAAAGCGTGAGTTGAGCCGTTTTTAATTAATTTTCGCTTAAAGTAATGTCTCACGATAGTTTAAACAATTTAATTAAGAAACACTTTATAAATCAAGATATTTAAAAAAGATTTTACACTAAATATAACATAGTGTTTTATTAACCAAGTGAGTCCTGAGATCTATGAAAATTTCTAAGAAAGTGTTTTGTATTAGATTTGCACAGAATCGACCATAAAGTAAACCCAAACACACAAATATTAACACAATTTTTTGTTCTAAGTCTTCTTGAAAACCGAGAAAATAAAACCAGCTAATAATGAAATTTACAAGTGCCAGCGTTATATTTAAGCTTTGAACGAAATAGGACAAAGCTTCAGTAAGTTCTTTGTGAAACTGGAAATTACGGCTCTCAAGTTGTTGATTGCCTTTCGCAGCTCGTAATTGGATCCTACTAGAATTGTCTTTTGTAATTTGAACAAAGCAGGAAATTCGTTATATCGGACACATAGCTTGAACGTTGGCAAGGAGGGGATTTTGCTCCCCTAGGCAATCGAAATTAGGACCATATTAATGGTACATAGCATAGATAATCGATTGACGACACTTGTGTATATTAAATGAATAAAATATAAAGAAAATTTATAGGTAAATGTAGAAAATTGAAGTGTAGTAAATGCGATAAAGAACCTTTTAAAAGTTCCCAGAACTTTAATTAAAAACAAAGTTTGTTTCATTTTCCATCAGTTCCACTGAATCCGTACAAATACTTTGTAGGATTTTTTTTATTCCAATGCTAATTCAATTATGAAGTTGTTGAAAATTTAACATTAAGCAGGTAAAAACTTTTAGCAAATCAATACAAAATGTTCAAATAGTATTGGAAAGGTTTCCTTTTAACAAAGGCAATTAGAGTCAATTTAAAGTAAAGCCTTGACGATAAGAAATCTCATAATTTTTCTTAGAAAAATAATTAAACTTAGGGCCTGTCCCACCAAATTGTAAATTGTCTGTTAATAATCACACGTATAAAATATCGGATTTTGTTCCCTTATCTGACAGTGATGTCATTTTTAAGCTATCTGAGCCTCTATCAGCTAGTGGTGGGACAGGCCTCTAGTAACCAAATTGAAACGATATTGTATCGACGAGATATTCACACTTAGATTTTGTTATTTATCAAGAACTAGCTTTTGCTCGCGATTCCGTGCCCGTGGAATTAAAAAAAAACATCAAAAGTAAGTAGCCTATATGTTCTTCCAGACTATGTTCTACATCTATGCTAAATTTCATCCAGATGTGTTCAACAGTTTAGGCTACAAACTCTTAAAAACATCCATCCATCTAAACGTTCGCATTTACTCGTATAGCATTAGTAAAACAGTTTTCTCAATTCTGTAGTTAATTTCTGAAATCAGAATTTAGTACATTAGCCTTTCAATGCAGTTCTTTTAAGTTTCTGTCTATAGTGACGTCATAAAAACACGCAAACTAGGCCGCGTGATCTAGGGCAATAGATACTGTACCAGTTCAACGCATCAACGCTTCTGCACAAAGTTTGTTCCGATGAGAGCTTTTGTTATAAATCCCTAGCTTTTGCCCGCGATTCTGGCTTCCTGACTATGTTTTAAATCTGTCTTCTGGAGATATGAAATAACAAATATACCTCCATTTATAATCCGCTTTAATAATATCAGTCAGAAGATAGGATTTAATTTGTTACATGTAAGAAATTGTCTATTTAATTAAGCCGGAACTGTCAATGTTCTCTAACTTTTTATTGTGATAGCTGTTCCCGCGCGACTTCATTCGCATGAAATTATGGAAATTGTTTTATTGATTACATTTGTTAAATTCAATTGCAAATGTCAAAATGACATGACATGATGACAAAGTATGGCAATTTTGCTTCCTTGATGTTGGCAGCAACTTATAGTCTCTTTCCCACATTAGGGTTTTTATCCAAAATATTTACCCCTTAAGTTTAATGGAGTGAAAATATGAAGCCTAAAGCGTGACGTAAGTGTAGGGCTTTTCATTAAAGAAAGAATTATTCAAAAACATGCTGTAATTGCTGACATCTTAGGCAACAAATAAGTGTGTGTTTACGCTTTATTATAATAGTATAGATATCTATATCTCTATACTATTATAGAGTATAGATTTATTACTAAATATGACATAAAACCTTGTCCTTAATGTAGTTTAATATACACGAAATGTGATTAATGAGAGAATTTACGTTAGCCAGATGAAACGGTGCGTAACGTACTCGTACGTCGACACCATTCTGTCAGAATGGAATTAGGTCGAGTGATATTGAATTAAACTCAACATTTCTATAAGCAACTATGTTATATCCGGTATTTTAGATGATAATTTGATGACACCTTCTCACATCGAATAATATAAATTAATAAATCAAGTGTTTTAGATATCCATTGTAAGCAAAACCAGTAATATTTCGAAGCAATGAGAACAACAATCATACGACAAACACATTAAAATTTAATATTTAAAATCTTTAGTAATAAGCCATGTTATAAATAGACAAACAGCAAAACATAAGGGATCTATATATACTTATGGTATAAAGAGGAAAGATTTGTATTTATCTGTAAATAACTCAAAAACTACTGGGCCGATTTTAAAAATTCTATCACCATTAAAGGCTACGTTATCAGTGAGTAACATAGGTTATATTTTTAAATTTCTCTCGGGCGAAGTCGCGAGCAACAGCTAGGAAGTATTAAATTGGAAAGAGAATGAAAAAATGTCTTTTATAGAAAATGAGATAAAACAAATTCCCTTGTTATTCTACAAATCCATTTCAATACTGTTAATCCGGGCTAAGCTATGATGTTTGCTATGCAGAGCACTCCTCGATCCGTATCTCAGCGGAGATTGTTATCGAATTTCTACAATTCATTGTATTATTAACCCAACTGAATATTCATTTGTTAACTAGTTTTCGCCTGTGACTCCATCGCGGAATTACAAAACAAAAGTAAGTAGTCCATGTGTTCCAGACTATCCTCTACATCTAAGCCTCCCATCATGATCCGTTCAGCAGTTTAGGCTACAAACTCTAATAAACGTCCATCCATCTAAACTTTCACATTTATAATATTAGTAAGCAAAACAAATAAAAAATATCAAGCCAGCCTGACGGACTGAAATAATTTTAAAAAGAAAAATAATAATAGTAAAATTAACAGAGTGATTCTAAAAGATTTCTAATCAAAACTTCATCAAATTGATCCCTCGTTTCTCGCGATTCATGATTAACTACTCTTTGACGACAAAGAGTAATCATGAATCTCTGATGGATGAATATTAACTCGGAGAATCTGTGTTCGGGTAATTAAGCGTGTTCTTGTCATGTAATTGGATTTAGTGAGCCGTTATTAAACCATTATTATACTGCTTACGCCAATTTCAGATTATTATAGAATAAACTAATTAAATCAGATAAAAGAATAAAAATTATTATCAATACACGGCACACTATCACTAACAGTGCTAGAACCCATTTTAACATCTAGGCACGAATGGGCTGGCCCGCCCGGTAATACCACGACCACACAGAAAACAGGCGTGAAGTAGAAGCAATTCCGCATTTCGTCTGATGAGTGTGTTGCCGGAGGCCTAATTTTATTCCTTTTCCCTCTCCACCATTTTATTAAGAGGAAAAGATGGGAAGGAAAAGTGGATTTGACGGTAGAGGAGACGCATAGGAAGGGAAAATATCCACTTTATGTGCGTCTATTCCTCCGCCAGTTGAGGGTATGAAACGCATCTGCAATTGCGGATGTTTATGAGCAGCGGTCGCTTTCCATTTCGGTGGATTCAGGTGCCCGCTTGCTCGTTTGCCAACTTATATTATAAAAAAAAAACTATTTGTTTTATAACAAGTATTTATTAAAACCTTAGTTATAGAATAATGAAATTAGATAAAAGAATAAAAATTATTATCAATACACAGCACACTATTTGTTCTTATAATTAGTATTTTTAAAACTTTACTCTTGAATCTTTAATTCTGAGAGTGGGAGCACACCTTTGACTAAACTGTCGCACAACTGTCGTGTAATTGTCGATTGTTTCGCAGCCCATTCAACTGTTTAGTTGCACTATAAAAATGGAGAAAAGTTCGCACCTCCATTTAAGCTCAAAGGAATCAAAGCGAGACTAAACAGTTGTGCGATACTGGTAAACAATTTTATTAGTGTTCAAATAACACAAAAAGAATTCTTATTTACGTTAGCAATCCTTTTACCTTATTTGATTTTGCTTACTTCGTGAGCTAACCTATCAGTTTGTAATATTGTTTATGTGTGGTGTATATATTCGTTTGAATTGGTACAATATCGATTTTATGATAATAGAGGATTCAATCTTGTACACTTAACGAATTGCCAATGGAATATACTAATACCGTGGAATTAAATTAACAACAAAAATAAGTCGCCTAATTTTTTCCAGACTATCCTCTACATCTATGCCATCGAAATATTTAGTCAGTCTATATTGTTCAAAAGATGGTTGACAATGATGATGACAATTGTTAACACTGGCCACCGAAACAGACGAATTAAAAATATAAATAAAACTAAAGTATGATTTTAGGCGAAAAACAAATGAGTGTGAGATGTGATACGAAAGAAGTAATAACGTAAATGTGAGCTCTTATAAAAAATTGTATTTTTTGTGTTAAAGTATTTATAAGAAGTTATAAAAACAAGATGGCACTACTCAAAGTTTACA